TCCTCCTTCTTCTTCTTTTTCTTCTTCTCTTCTTCTTCTTCTCTTCCTCCTCCTCCTTTCTTTTTCTTCTCTTCCTTCCTCCTCTTCTTCTTTCTTCTCTCTCTTCCTCTCCTCCTTCTTCTTCTTCTTCTTCTTCTTCTTCTTCTTCTCTTCTTCTTCTTCCTCTTCTTTCTTCTTCTTCTTCTCTTCCTTTCTTCTTCTTCACTCCTCCTCTCCTCCTCCTCCTTCCTTCCTCCTCCTCCTCCTCTTCTTCTTCCTCCTCCTCCTCCTCTTCTTCCTCCTTCTCCTCCTCTCTTCTCCTCTTTCTCTCCTCTCTTCTCCTCCTCCTCCTACTCCTCCTTTCCTCCTTTCCTCTATTCCTACGTGGGTATTTTAAAAAATATTTAGTTTTTTGATGATTTTCAGCGTAGACATGGCAAATGCATGGTAATAAATAACCCATTAAACCATTGTGAGCCCTATTTTGTAGGAGAAACTTCTGTAATTGGATATCTAGTAGGTTTCATTCCAATGGATCATTTGGTATTTGATATTTGTGATTCTTTCCCCTAATAATCCCCCCCCCCCCCCCAAACCCTTGCCCATGTTTCGTGGGGGGGCTTAGGAGACGGAGACTGAGACCCAATGCAGGGATCTCTCCTGCCTAGGGCCTCAGCCCTTGACTCAACTAATTTTGCATGGTCTTTTCCCCCTCCAGCTTTTTTTTCTGTCCCTTCTCCAATCCCTTCTACTATCTACTTCCTAAGGTGTAAGAGCCATGCTGAAAGGATGAAAGGCTGACCTTGTGCCAGTCCTGAACAGCCTGCAGGAACCATGGGCACAGTACTTCCTGATTTAGTCATCTAGCCTTTACCCCTGTACAGGACACTAGGGGGGTGGATCGTTTATTACCCTTTACATAATCAAGGCTTCCCATGGCCAGTAATGAAGATGTAATACCCTTATTAGGGGCAATGAGGCTTGCCCCTTTATCAAATAGCCCCACCGGCTCCCTGACCCCAGGCTCTCCTTTGACCACGACTCCGAACACTGAATCTACTACCCACTCCTCAATGCCTACTAGTGCATCACCCACCCAAGCAGAGACTCAATCTCCAGAAGACATTCCTACCCTCTCGACTTCCTCAAATTCATCAACTCTACCCCTACAACCTTCTTCATCAAACACCTCAACCTCCCTTATTACTACCTTACAGCCTTATTCTCCATCTCTCCGTAATACTACCCCCCTCAACAACACTCTAGCTTCCACACGCCCCTGTCGTTCTGCCACCACCAACCTTACAAATATCTTAACAACTCTATTTAGCCCAGCTAAATGGGACCAATTTTTTGTGATCCCCCCAACAGCTCCTTACTCAGACAACACTTTTCTCTTCCAACAATGTCTCCAAAAACATGTAGGCAGAGTCCCTTTCCGTACCCAATGCGATCACTCCTGCCTCGTAACAGTCAGATCTTAAGCTGAAGCTATAGAATTATCAAAACTAACTGATCTCCTGGCAACCCCATCTCTGCAGAACCTCATCCAACTCTTAATACTTGTACCGGAACTGTCTCTATCTCCCCAGCAAACTGCCCAGTTGATACCAAAGATTGGTCAGATTGTGGAGAAGACTTGCTTGGCTGCCTCAAAGATCAGGACATGATATCAGTACATTGCTACTCCATTCCTCCTAGAGGTCATCAAAAGAGACCCACCAACATTGCCAAAATTACTTTCAGTACACATGACCTTCCCGTCCGTATCTACATTGGTGAACTCCCTCCCTGTTCAACCATACCAAACACTGCCGCTCCACAGACCAATGCCCCCTCTGTGCCCAACCCGGTCATAACAGATCAAACTGCCCTGCATAAACACACATATGTGCTAACTGCAGTGGCCCCCATAATGTATTTTATAGAGGCTGTCCCACTTACAAGTTCGAGTCAGAGGTAGCAGCTCTCAGATACATGAATGGTCTCACTCTACATGAAGCCAGACAGAAAGCACGCAAACAAGGTTTCTCTTATTCTCCCTACTCCAGTAATGTTGCTTGCTTTGCCCCTCCCCCTCCACCTCAAGATCCTACACCCTCCCCTATACCTACTTACTTCCCCACTTCCACCACTTCCACTCCTACATTCAACCTCCCCCAGTCAAATTCTTTTGCCACTCTAATTCCAGACACCCCAATCTCAAACACAGCTCCAATCTCAGTTACAGCCCCAACACCATCCCCTCTCCCTCCCTGCACTACCTGCAGTAGACAGACTAAATGTTCCATCCCTTCTTCCCCTACTGCACACTCACCTCCACCTAAATTTACCTTTACTCCTCAAACACCAGTCTCCTCTTCCCCCCCCTCATAAGAAAACCTTTGTCCCACAAAACTCCACTACAGAAACTATGGAAGACATTCAAAGCTATATGCTTGTGACACAAAATTCCATAACTCCTGCTCCCTCCACACTTGAAGTGATTGCCGATATCCATACCTCTCCTACTCATATTCCCCCTACGCCCCTTCCTCGTACTTCCTCCGAACACAACCTAATCCCCTCAATTCTGTCCACCACCGATATCCATCTTCCAGATACCCATCCTCCTGATATCCATCCTCCTACTACTAATATTCCCCTCACACCACTTCCTCTTACTCTCTTCCAACACAACCCGCCCCCTTCAACTCCAACTATACACACATTCTCCCTCCCTCCATCCCCTCTAGCCTTTCCACTCCCTCCCTCCATCCCCTCTATCCTTTCCACTCCCTCCCGGATACACAGGGGAATCACTCATGTCACAACACCCCCTGGCTCCTTCCCCCCCGAGATTCCCCACCAGATTCCCCAACACATACTGGTGCTTTCACTCATAAAATAACTAAGATATAGCTCTCCTACATTGGAATATTCGCGGTTTCCGTTCTCAAATCAGACCTATGTCATATCCTTGCTTCTTATAACAACCTGTTCACCTTCCTCAGATGCATAAATATCCTTTTGTTCTAATTCCCTTACCTAAATCACCATAACCCTTTCCCACATCAACCCTCTTACCCATTTTCAACTTTATAACATTACTCTAGATAGTTGAAGCATAGCAACTATCACCTGACATCACCCTTTACTATTCCTTCCTATAGTGCTATATGACCTTAGATGTCTAGCACATTTATTTCACTTTTAACCATTAACCATTCCCCTAATAACCCTTCTTCAAGCAAAGGTTACAGTATGACCTAAGGAGTGTAGAGTAATATCTTTCCAGTTACATTTTATTCTGCATTCCAGAAAAAACATGCAATATTTCATTTCATTTCAGAGTCTGCTGCTAATTCCATATCATTTTAATGCGTTTTGTATTGTTCACCAAGATTGTCACAAGAAAAATTGTCTATTTAGATATTTTTTTTTATTGGTTATTTTGTATAAGTTACATGATGTCTTGATCAAGGAGAATTAAGAACAAGGAAGCATATGCATCTCCAGCTGTTATTATGATTGAAACAGTATTTATCTTATGATCATTATTATTGATAATATTGTTTGTGTTGTTAGTATTGGGAAGAGTTTTTTATCTAACTGCAAAAGGTACTTTAAAGGACCATTAGCTATGATGGGAATTAACATTTAAATGATGATTTTGTTGTTTTGTGTTTTATTTTATTGACTATGAAGAGTGGAGCCTTTCACAATTCTAATTGCCTTGTTTTTTATATAGTTGTTAATAAGGCTGTTATTAATTTTTGTATCGTCTCTTTCGATAGTCTACTAATGATAATGTATTATATGGTGTTTTGAGGAGAAAGCATATACTTGCATTCTTGTGTTGAGGATTTTGAATAAGCATCCTGGGGAAATGACTCCAGTTTTTGGTTTCTAATAACATTTGATTGTGGTAGGTAAGTCACCAAAAAAATTTCCTATTGTACTATAATTTCTCCATTTTAAAGAGAACTGTATATCCATGTATCTTTGTATTCATTTTTGTGTATATAATTAGGTATATATACAATGTTTAAGTAGCTTATTTGATGCTTCATTATATCATTATATCATATTATCCCGATGGCATTAAGGGTGACATGTTTAAAGACATGCCACACCCACTGCGAGTTTAGTTTATTGATTGTTGTTACACATAGATGGCTCTACAAGTCACACATATGGCTCCACAAGTCATATAATGGCTCTACAAGTCACATAGATGGCTCCACAAGTCACATAGATGACTCTACAAGTACTTTGTCACAGAGGAGTCACTTACTAGTACTACTAACCTCACCTATTTATCCTTTTCCTTGATTTTTTCGCATTTGTCTCATATTGCTATTAGTAATGTTTATGACTTTATGTTAATTATAATATTTACAATAAAATTACAGCATCAGTATTGATAGTATAGTAAGACACATTTTTCTTAAAACCTTTAAAAAAAGGGAAATCAGGTTAGATCACAAGGTCTACTAATTGACTCATTAGTGGCTGAGCACTTGTGGAGCTATTTATTTGGTGAAAGGAAAAACTTAAGTAAACTTTACATTTTCTCATCAGTATAGGGGTAATTGAGCTACATTTTGAGTATAATTGCTGAAGGGTTTAGAAAACTTTTTTTTGGTGACTAGTTTTGTAATTTTCATAGTAAAGTAGTTAGCAAGAAAGGGACAAAAATGCTTTTTGTATACTGTTTAACTAACTATATCTCCTATTGGCAAACTGCATTTTCATAATTCATATATTGTTGTAGTAACAGGCTACATAGACTTTATAATCCATCAGTTATTAATAGAATAATTCAGAATATAAAGTGAAAGTATTTCTTTTATCCATTAATTTAGTTTAGATCCTGAATAATTTATATCAAAGCATGTACAGTATAGGTATACCTTTTAAATAATGTAGCAAATATCATCTTACACTGTGGACCATCAGAGCAGAAGCCAAAATACCACCAAAGATGAAAAGATGGGTATTATTTCTGGTTTCTGAATTCTTTTCCTTGATCTTCCCAGCTCGTGTGTTCAGGTCATCCCCACAGTTTGGTGTTACACTGGTGACCTATGAAGTTTTGCAGAGACTCTTCTATGTTGACTTTGGTGGCAGGTATGTTCCAGAATTATTTTTGTTTTGAATCTGGTAATATTCTTCACTTTAAGATCAGTTCACTGTTAAAAGTAGTTTAATATTTAGAACTGAGAAGAAAAAAAAATGATAGAATAGATAAATAGATATTAAGATTCTCCAGACCTCTAATATGCCACAACATAAATATATTGACACTTTTTATCTTCCCCAGTCGTCCAAAGGGCTCAGAGGCCCAGCTTCCTGCCTCAGCTGCAGATCTGCGTTCTACCAACCCAGACCATGTTGGAGGGTACAAGGTTGCCGTTCCTATCTTCAGAGGCATTGAATCAAAGTTTGGCCTCTTCCTTCCTCGTTTCGCGTGAGAGGAGAAAGAGAGATATTGTGTATATTTTGGGGTGTAGTTAATTATTTTTTAGAATTTTGTGCTCTGATTTTACTATTTATTTTATATAAATGATGATTTAAAGAAAGAAAGAAAAGTATAATTCCTTTTAAATATTTCCTGTTTTAATATTTATCACATGTTCTTTAGTAGTGAATTTTATGAAGTCTGGAAATAGCATGTTATGTTCATGATGTGTATATATATGCATAATGTTTGTTTTTTCCTTGTTTTCATACTCACTAAAAATAAAATTTCAGAAAATGTGGTTCAGATCAAGTAACACATTTTAATTTAATTTAACACATTTAATTTGTGAGATGTCATTCACATTGTAGAAGGAAGAAAAGAGCAAATGTTGGATGTTTTCCATCCATGTAATCTGATAAATGTAAAAAATGTAAGAGATTTTGAAATGGAAGACTCAAAGAAAAAAAAATATTTTTTTCTTTATTCCTTATAACAACAGGAACTGAAATGAACTCAGTAGCACCTCTATGTGATTCATATGTACAGGGTAGTGTCAAACTAGTTGAACTTTTCCTTTCATTTTCATAGGACAGTATAAAAATGCAATAGAAAACCAAAAGCTTGTTCCACTCTGAAGTGTGCATGCGCTCTCAGAGTATTTGTATAGGTCAGTTAACAAGCCTGGGTTTGAGTTTCATGTGTGATCAAATATGTCACTAGCAATGTAAATAGGGTTTTGTGCTGTGACCCACTTATATAAAATAGATATCCAATTACCTTTGAAACTAACTAAAGTTGTTATCTGAATTGCCTTTTACGTAAATACATTTAGCCTTCACTAGTAGAGGTAGGCTTCATACCTGAATTTCAATAGATTGTTATGAATGTATATTAATAAGATCTCCCAAGGCATGTGTGATAACAGCAGGCTTTGAAGCCCATGAAAAAGGATATATTGGTACATGTAAGAGATTGGTTTTGCCATCTTTCATACTGGATATCTCTGACTTGAACCATGAATATGTTAAACACTAAAGATTTGATTAAGATCTATTTATTTTTATTCTCTTAGCTCTTCAGATATGCTGCAATTTGACCTGTGGATATAGAGCACACTGTAGTATTGAAGTCTCAATAGAAAATGTATATGACCTTAACTATGGCAATAATCTGTAGATTAAAATAAAATCAATGGCAACTCGTGTACAGCTGCATTTGTATAAAAAGTTATCTATTGATAAAGGACCTACAGGTGCAGACTTTGAGAAAAGAATAGGCCTCAAACCACACCGATCATGTTACACTGAAGAGCATATGTGAAGGAGATATGAGATTTGAATAGAATCTAACAGAATACCTTTGCACATTTTTCTTTACATTAATTGGAGGTTCTGTAAAATCAGAAGGCACAAACAGCCCAAAAAAAGAAACAAAGAAAAAATATATACAACAATAATTGTCACATAAGGAAAAATTGTAAAATAACAAAAAGATTATAATAATGATAATAATAATGATAATAAAAATGTTGATGATAATGCGAAAGCGCAAATAGTAAAAAGGAATAACTGTATGAAGGAGGAGTGTTGCCCATTCTTTTTGCAGAGTCTGTAACTCAGAACCTTCTATAATGTAACTGCATGGAATGATGCACAGTCAATCAGGTTGCTCAGGTTAGTTACACATTTCATTGTTAAGATCTGCTAATTGCCAAAATGATATTGATGTTTGTACAGGTATACATAGCTGATAAAGTAATATGATATATATGCCAATCTTCATTTTAATTACTTGTCCTTAAAAGAAATTCCCACAAATTGTATTTATGATTACATGCAATGTTTCTGTTAATTTATGTCATGGTGTAATTATGTTGTGCTGCTTCTATTTGGATAGAACCTTTAGAAATTTAATGTAAATGATCCAGGTATTAGAGTTATGTTTTCTGTCTCAGTGAAGTTATGATGCTTATTTATTTGGTATTAGATATGCTTATATTTTTTTCCCTAAAATATCCTTCTGTCACAGGATAATATTGAAAATGTAGTTATCTCCAGCACATATTCAGATATTGTGTTTATTTTTTACTGTTACAAAACATCACAGATTGGAAAAAGCATTCAGCAGCTCTAACTTTAAGGAAAGTCGCTTGGAGAAGCAAATAGTACCACAGATATCTTTTGTGTACAATCAGGCTTATATGTAAGAAAACATTAAGTTTTTGGAATAAAATTAGTTAATTTAAAAACTGGATATGAAATAAAGTACTAATATTC